GCAGTGTGAGAGAGTGCACCAGTGCATTGAAGATAACCTACTGCCCCTGGCTTGAGGGGTGTCATGCAGTATCTGTGTGAGTGAGCCCTAAGTTAAGGCGTGTCAGGCACTGTCTGCATGAGAGTGGCCTGTAGGTTGAGGGGAGTCAGGCCCTGTCTGTGTGGGTGACCTGTAGGTTGAAGGTGTCATGTACTGTCTGCATAGAGCGGCCTGTAGGTTAAGGGGTGTCAGGCAGTGTCTGTGTGGGTGACCTGTAGGTTGAGGGTGTCATGCACTGTCTGCATTTGAGTGGCCTATACGTTGAGGGGTGTCATGCAGTGTCTGTGTGAGTAGCCTCTAGGTTGAGGGGTGTCATGCAGTGTGTGAGTGGCCTATAGGTTCAGAGGTGTCAGTCAGTGTCTGTGTGGGTGGCCTGTAGGTTGAGGGGTGTCGGTATCTGTGTGAGTGGCCCCTAGGTTGAGGGGTGTCATGCAGTGTCTGAGTGGCCTGTAGGTTGAGGGGTGTCAGTCAGTGTCTGTGTGGGTCACCTGTAGGTTGAGGGGTGTCAGGCAGTGTCTGTGTGGGTGGCCCCTAGGTTGAGGGGTGTCAAGCAGGGTCTGCACGTGAGTGGCATGCTGGAATTTTCCAGGGACTCTAACCCTGCCATGACTTGTCATGGTTTTAGTGAAAGCCTTTGATGAGCTTCTTTTTCACTCACTGGGCACCTCTTTTGTTTTAAGGTGGATATTTTGGCTCACTTTGGCTATATTGAAAGTCTCAGCCAATCACCACCTTCTTCGTCTTCTCCTTCTCCTCCTTCTTCTTCCATCAAGAAGGTAAAATTCAAACTTGAATGCAAGACAAAAATCAGTCCTTCTGTAACTCTGACGCTCAACCCTTTTCTTCCCAAGTGCGGTGACTGTAGGAGGTAAGGTATGGAACCAGAGCCCTCCTTGGGAACGCTGGAGCCTGGGGAAGTGGCTGGGATTTCCCGGGCAAGCCGTCTGGGCGAAGCTGTCGGAGATTTGGTGACCTGACACCACCAGCAGGGAGCTCTCAGGAGGGGCTTAGGGGTTTATTTACACACAGTTGCATGTGAGTCACAAGGTGTTTGGTAACATGATACCTGGTGCATACGGAGAGGTAAGGATGAAGACGCCACACGGTAGAAATGGGGGAGAAGGGAGAGGTAGGGGGCATACGGAAGAGGCCTTTAGGATGGAGCCGTCACAGTTACCTGACCGAGCGTCTGCTGTCGAGGGGACCCAGATGTTCTTGGGGTTCAGGGCAAAGAGACGAGAGGGTGTTAACCAGCTCCTAGGAGGGCGTTTGCTGCGGTGGGCGAAGCCCTGGAGAGACCAAGAGCTCAGCAGGCACGTACCCAGTGCCGAGAGCCCTGGAGTTAGGCTTGCTGTTGGACTTGGGTGAGGAAGTCTTTGGAGTTAGGCTTGCCGTTGGACTTGATGAGGAAGCCTTTCTCTGAGCGCCATCTGTCTTCACATCTGAAGGAAGTAGATCTTTGGAAAGGCGACACCAGCCACCTTACGTGCCTGTGGTTACCTCTGTGAGTGGAAGTTGACCTGGCCCTGGGCCTGTCTGACCTTTGCCCCTGTAGTAGACCAGCGGGTTTGCTCTTGCTCAGTGGGGACTCCCCCACATCAGAGGACTGCCCACAGGTTTCACGCTTCCCCTGCTGCTCAAGATCAAACCCCCCCCCCCAGTCAGATAGCCTGTGCCAAACCCCTGAGAGGAAGGCGATGGTACACCCATTGAGCTGGAGTGGAGACTGAGACCCGCTGCCTGAGTTGGCCCCGCTGACTTACACCAAGTGGGGATGCTGCTCACAGCCAGGCCGGCTCAGAACCGAAGTCCTCAACCGGCCACCCCACCCCGCGTGGCCTCTGCTTACTTCACAGCCCTGCAGGTTCAGGAAAGGATTTCCGATCCACCCACCCTCCAGTCTCCTGTGCTCCTCCACTTCTACTATATACGGGCAGCTTCCAGAAGCTCCCATCTAGCCGCCCAGTCTTCTGTGCCTTGATTTGCCTCCAACCATCTTCCTGAATCGAGTCTGGAATCCTTGCCTGAGCTGACACAGTGTGGATTGGGCCCCATCAGACTGACCCAGGCCTTGCCCCTGGTGGTTGGTCTGCCACCTCTGTCCTCTAACTGACCATCTGAGAGGCCTTTCCCTGCAGTCCTACTCATATGGTGACGAGAAAATGATGCTGCTTTCTTGTCTGTACTCACTGCAGTCTCATTCAGAAAGTGTGTGCTTTTTGGAGAGTTTTGTTTGCTTCCAGAAATAGAACCTCTTAGCATAGCGGGCAGTTTGAAACTCCTGAACAAAAACTACAGAGGGCATTTTGCTGGCCTGAATGAGCCTCAATCACCAGGCCATTAGCCCGCACGTCTTTGTTGAGGCTGTGAGTTCATCTCATTTGCTCTGAGTCATTTTATCAGCTGAGTCCATGAAGAGTTCACAGTCATGGAGTGGAAGTTGTTCCTGCTGTTCGTGTCCATGAAATCCCACTGGACGGTCCACTGTGAGTTGCCTGGACAGCAATGAACATTGTACTTGGTTCAAGTAAAACCCTAGGAACTGTGCTTTTCTCCTTTGAAGATGTAAGAGTCTCTGTATATCCCGTGTGTAAAACATTCCCTTTTCCGGGAGAATCATCTGAAGCAAGTAGTCAGTTGTCTTCCCCACTGTAACACTTTACAGGGGAGAGTAGACAGTTGGGGCATTAACTTCCCCACTGTAACACTTTACGGGGGAGAGTAGACAGTTGGCCTGATTTCTTACAAAGCTCTATCTCTTAGTTACCACCACTTTTTTTTCTTCTTGAGAAGGGCTTGATAGAAGGGAAAAAAATCTTCCTGTTCCATATTCTTGGGAAAACATTCTGTTTTGTAATTACGAAGATAGGGCATACTGAATTTTCCTTGGATTTATTTGTAGACTTAAGATGTTTCAAACACAAACACAACACATTTTTAAGCCTGTTGTTCTAATGTTAAAGGTCAGATCATCTCGTTTATAGAAGAGTCCAGAAATAGGCCCGAATTACAGATGTGCTAAAGGTGACCTTCCAGGTCAGTATGGAAATAGTGTGTTAGAACAGCCGAGTGACCACGAGGAAGAGTGAGCTGAAGCCTTCGTCACTGCTTCCTCTAAAGTCAGTTCCAGACACAGCAGAGACTGTGGCGTGAAAGCCTCAGGCCAGCCCAGGGGAAAGGAGAGCGCGGATGCCTTCCAGGTGGAGGTGCGTGGAGGACGGGCACGGGGAGTCGGGCCAGTGCCCCCTCTGCGCTCCACAGCCCTCCGCTGGCTCGGGCCCCAAGTGCCTTGTATTGGATGTTCTCGATTTTATTTATATTATCAATAATGAAACAGTGAAATCTCTTGAAGGGACAGTAGTTTCAAAATTGTTCTAGAGTATCGCTTGCCCTCTTAGGCCCGACTAGCACAAATAAGCAAGCCAGCCAGTGTGCTTTGGAGGAGTGAGGGGAGCTGTGTGCAGCCCCCTTGGAAGGCGTTTGGACAGAATCCCTCATTGCAGAAGCATCCTCTTCACACAGTGTTTGTTCCTCTGGGGACTGCAGATCCACCGGGCATGTGGACAAGGTGCCTAAACATGTGCAGGGCAGCAGCACTCAGAGTGGAAAAGTCCTGTGATAAGGGCAGCGAAGACCAGGCCAGGTGGGTGATGTTCCCGAGAAATGGCTGGTGGAGCCCGTGGCATCGCGGTGGGAAATGGCACCAGCCATCGGGGGGATCTGTCTTGGACAGTGTTTCTTGGTGTCCCATGAAGAATACAGGGCAGGGAGTACCTCTGGGTCTGTGTACGTGTTTTTAAAAACAAGGATCTGGGTGGGTGTGTGCTGTTGCCAAGGACTTTGTGAGAGTGACGAGGCCAAAGGGCGGTGGTGCTGTCACTGAGTCAGCCCTTCCACGTACTGACCCCTGCATAGTAGGGCAGAACATGATGCATCCTGCCCGTCTGACCATCGCCGCTGCACTCCGGCCCATTACTGCAGTCCACCTCACTGAGGGACTTTTATTGGACATTATTATCCTTTTCCAGAGGAAGTAGTGCCACTGATCCAAACGCTGAGCGTCTGGTGGTTCAAGCCACGGGAAGCTTGAGGGGAAAAGATGACCAGTCTCCTCCTGTGTATTTCCCAGCCTCAGAAGCCCAGGAGAGGGTCAGCTGTGAGTCCGTTCCAACTCAACAGCATTGAGTTTTTGCAGTTGTTTTGCTATGATTTTGAGTGTTGGTTTTAATCTGTACATGTATTATTTTTAAAATACAAATAAAAACTTAGCTAAAAATACAGCATATTACTGTAGAGCAGCAACGTTGAATGAAACAGATTCTTGTAATCCACGTGATAATCTCAGGAAAACAAAGCATTGAAGCGGAGAGGCTTACAGGGTGATTCTGTTTGGATGGGCAGGAAAAAACCAGGACGTGATTGTGATTTCCACAGGTGACGGAAGCGTGAGAGCCTGGGAGCGGGCACAGGGCTCGGAGCAGGCCTAGCTGTGGGGACAGGAGAAGAGAGTGGCAGGCGGGCCTGTGACCGTGTCCAGTAGCTGTTTCATTACTGTTTTTTAAGGCTCCAGTGTAAATAAGACTAAAGGTCATCAGTGATAAATCAGATTAATGCCGCATTTGGGCAGTTCTCTCTTGATGGTGTCAGCAGCTCTGCGTTTGACTGCAGACTGGATCCATCTAGAAATGCCTGGTGGTCTGTTCCCCAAATCATCGCTTAGAAACTCCAGGGAACACAGTGTGCTCTGATCCGTGCGTGATTGGTAAAGAGTCGGGATTATTGCATCAGATTCCATACTGAGTCATTTTTAGTATTAAGAATTAAAATAGTCTTAAATGGTCACCAGTGGATTTTCTCCGCACTCGTGTTGTATTCCACTGTCTTGTCATTCCTGTGTCATCGACTAGAAGATTCCAGAAGTCATGAGCCCTCTTTCTCCTTTTGATCCCTTGACTGCACAGGTCAGTGGAGGCAGTGACCCCTGGTCCTCATGGGGTGCATCCAAACCTGGGAACTGGGAGGGCACAGACGGCTGGGGAGCCAAGCCCGAGGGTGCCGCCGCCCAGAGAAACTCCAACAACTGGGACGCCGCCTTTGGCCACCCGCAGGCCTACCAAGGACCAGGTACGGGGCTGGGGCTGGGCTGTGTCAGGTGTTCTCCGTGTGCACCCGTCTCCTCCCAGGCATGCTGGTCAGTGGTCAGGTGTCCTGTATCCCCCCCACCCCCACCCCACACAGCTGTCCCAGGAGCTGGGGGGGGGGCTTCCCCGTGTGGGTCACAGAGGTTCCCAGGCTCAGAAGCACTCCTGGCCTCTGCACTGGAGCTCCGTGTTGTCAGGAGCGGGGAGCACTGTGATCACAGCGGCCCCACGCACGGCATGACCACACGCTGCCCAGGCCTGCACATCCCATCTCTGCTGTGCGTGAGCCCACAGCTGAGCCACACGGTCCTCCACCTCCGGAGGGTCTTTCTCCTGCGTGCTGACCACCTTCTGCTCAGCAGGTCTTTCCCCAGGAACTGGTCCCTCCTGCTCACGAGCCCCAGCTCTGAGAGGACCTGGCCGTCCTCACCTCCAGAGGCCAGTACCTCAGTCCGCTTCCATCCCTCCAGCTTCTGTCTAAGTCTGACCTGGTCAGGAGATTGAAGGGCGTGTGTTTGTTTTGGTTTCCTTCTCTGATGATCTCCTGTTCTCGCTCTAGCAACGGGTGACGATGACGACTGGGATGAAGACTGGGATGAGCCCAAGTCCACGTCCTCACCTTACTTCAAGGACACGGAATCCGCAGACGCAGCGGGTGCCCAGCGAGGGGTCAGCCGGGCCGGGACGTCGTCCATGAAGCTGCCGCTGAACAAGTGAGCGAGGGGCCAAGGGAGCCGCCGGCGTGCTGTGGGGCCACACGGTCGTTTACACTGGGATCTTGATGTGCTTTTGTTTTTAATAGTGATTCTTTTTTTTTTTTAATTTATTTCATTATTTTTTTGTGTGTACTGTCAAATCAGATCTGACTGATACAGGAGGAGATTGTTCCTCCTTCTCCAGCAGAGACTTTTTTTTAATAAGTTTTTATTATGATTTTAATGAAAGTTTACAGAAAACTTGCATTTTCACTCATTCACTGTTGCATTTTCCTCCCTCCCTCCTAGATCACGGTTCTCTTTTTTTTATTTTATTTTATTTATTTTAATGAACATTTACAGAGATTTTGGATTTCCATTCATTCATTCATTGTTGCACTTTTCTCCCTGCCTGCCCCTCCCCTCCAGTTCGCTCTTCCCTTTGAAAAGAAGGAAGAAAAATTCCTACATTGGTATACCAACCCCCGCCCTGAGTACACTCCACTATGCAGCCTTCATTCTGGATTCTTGTGATAACCATAATACCCTATCATATATCGCTTTTAATCTGTTCTCTTCCTCATCTGTTTCAATACAGTATACATAATTTATCCAGTTTTTCTCAGTCTCACCCCAACCCTGATGTCAGTCCCATTCTACAATGGTGGAATATTGACTTTTTTTAATATCATGATCTCCCAGGACCTTTGTGTCGGAGCCCAGCTGGCATGGCATGTAAGGTGTCAGCCTGCTCACCTAAAGGTTCACAGAGCCAAGCCGGCGCTGCTCCCTGGGGGAGGAGGCAATCTCCTCCCGAGGAGATTCGGTTGCTGCGAGTCAGAGCTGGTTCAGGGAGTGGGCTTGAGGTTTTGTTTACCTTTGTTACCACAGGAAAGCCAACAATGAGAACAGAGCTGGTCTGTCACCTTTTTCTCTATTTATAAACCACTGTCCCGTGTGTGCCTGGCAGTGTGGAGAGTAGCTTGTGTGTGTGCCGGGAAGTGTGGAGAGTGGCTTGTGTGTGTGCCGGGAAGTGTGGAGAGTGGCTTGTGAACACACTCACTTGACCCTGCAGCCCCACGAGCTAGACGTCACCCCTTCTGCTGGGTCAGGAAAGAGCCTCTGAGGCAGGTTCTGCGGGTGACTGTGGTTTATCCTGGTGTCAGAAAGGAGGCACCGTGCGTAGGACCTCGAGAAGGCTCTTTCTCAGGGGCACATGTTCTATTTAAAATAGCTTTATTTTCTAAAATTACTAACATTTTTTCCTCCACTGGGAAAAATGGGAAACATAATGTTCAGCCTATCACTGTCAGTGTAGACCTACTAGGTGTACATTTAGTGAGTCCCACACACACTGTGAAGGAGCTCTGGTGGCCCAATGATGAGAAGCTACACTGCAATCCCAAAGGCACACGGCTGGGATGAACCAGCTGCGAGGGAAGGCCGGGCAGTCTCCTCCTGTGAGAGTCACTGTTCCTGAGAGCCGGCAGGAGGGGTCAGCTGTGAGTCAGGTCCAGCTCGTGTTCTCTGAGCGTATGTAATTGCACTGGGGGGGGTGAGTCCTCTTTCCACCACACATTTCCTCCCCCGTGTCCACATGGTGGTGGTGGGTTCATACAGAGTTGCACACACAGCGAGGCTGGCCCATCACTGTCGTGCTCTGTCCTTGGAGTCCTCCGTCGCGTTCAGGGCTTCCATCCTAAGCACAGGGTACACTGAAACACAAGCTGCTTTCTGGCCCATTTGAAAATGAAGGATCACTGTCTTTTTCTGAAAAATGACTGACCACATTTGAATAGCTAGGCCTAAGGGTGGGCTTGTCCCCAGGTCCTCTGGACCCTTCTCAGGGGTCTTTGTTGCCCCACAGCCCACCCTCCACCTGGTCACTGGCTGTGGTCTAAGAGTGGGGTGACAGCCTGCTTGGACTTCAGACTCCCGTCTGTGAAATAAAGGCTTATTAAAGTCGCTTTCTGCTGTCAAATTTCAAACCAAGTTCAGGACAAACTAGAGGAGCCCTAATTTGGACGTGTTTCTCTCAGCCTCCCTGTCTGTCTGTGGTGCTGAAAACAGTCTAACATCCTGTGATGTTTGTGTTAAATTCAAATCCAGAGGCACCCCCACTTCAGGTCAGCAGCCCAGCTCTCTAAGGATAAGGTGCCATGAGATTTTTTGTTTGTTTTATTTTAATCAGTATTTTATAAATAAGTTAAACTTAAGGCAGTTGTAAAAAGTGTTTTAAGGTAGTAACACTGAGCACCAGTTAATTTACTTTGTATGACAGCCGTGTTCCAGGGATGGACTGACACTTGGCTCGGGAGCAGGGCTCAGATACTCAGATGTGCCCAGGGCCTTGTGAGGTGCAGTCCTAGAGTGAACGGCCGTCATGGCTGCCTGGTCAGCGCTCAGTGAGAGGTGTGCAGTGGGGTTTCCATCGCTGCATTCTCTCTCTCTAGTTCCCCGTCAGCATTTTCTAGAAAGACTCCTTAATAGGAACGTTAGCCCCTTGATCCTGAAGCATTTGGAGCACCTCCAGAACTCCTGGAGGTCCTGAGGCCAAAGATCTCCTCATCACTGTGGGGTACAGGTAGAGAGTGACCACTGGGCATAGCGGGTGGGAGCGCAGCCTACACACAGCTGCCACCCCTGCGCTGAAGGGGACACGTGCAGAAGGCGACACACATACAGGTAATGCTGAGTTAGGACACTGAGCTCTTCACGTGAATCTTTGTCCTCTGTCCCCTGCTGTCTCTGAAGGGTCCTGTTCTGCACCAGGAGACTCCAGCCCTGACCACCTAGTTATTAACATTGAAGATTCAGACTTCTCTTGGTTCACTTGTCATGAACTTGCTTTAAAGAGTGAGTTGGCAGAAAGAGGGCCTAGCAGGCAGTGAGTCTAGAACAGAGGACAGCAGTGTGCAAAGACCCCTGGACCTGGCCGCGATGGCCTTGGGTGAAATGACTTGTGGATAGTTGTTGTTGTGTACTAGTAACTGACTCACAGCTCACTCTCCAGCTGGTCAGAGGCTGTAAATCGCACAGGAGGACATTGCCCATCTTTCTCACGTAGAACAGCCCTCTAGGCCCACACAGCTCCCTAGGACACAGTACCTGAGACTATTTTGTCCTTTATTTTGTTAGAGAAATAAGAGTCTTATTTTAGGCATTTTGATTTCTTGAGTAACACACATTCACACGCATTCATATTTGTTGGATTTCAAACCTTAGTTTAATCTCTTCTTCAGACGTAGCACTTTGAATGGCTTGAGTATTTATTCTAACTGATGTACAATTTTAGACATTTCCCTTGCATGTGGCCTGGTGGTAAGAAGCTGTGTTGCAATTCCAGAGGCTCACAGTTTGACTTCATCAGCTGCTCCAAGGGGGAAGGATGGGCACTCTCCTCCCGTGCAGTTTACCACCTCTTAAAATCTGCTGGAGGGTTACCTAGGGGTTGGTTCAACAGTTCACGGTTTACAGTTGAGACCTGAAATGGGACATGTGTATCTCTTTATTAAGGAGACCACTTTTCTTTGATCCCATAGACGGGGTCTGAAGGCAGCTCCAGAAGACAGTGGTGCTGACGTTGATGCACAGGGAAGCCTCTTGGAATAACTGTGTGTCCCCCAGAAGGAGGGTGCTGGGGGTGCTTGAATCTGGGTAGGAATTCTGGGGTTTGTCTGGTGCCTCAGGGGTGTGTGTGTGTGTGTACGTACGTGTGTGAACGTGATGCTTCCTCGCCCCACAGTTGACTGGCATCTTTCTCAGGTGCCCTTCACTCTCTGCTGGGTGATAAGAGTTTTTCAGATCCATAAATATCTCACCTTCTGTAACCAAACCGTCCTCTTACCAGGTAAAGCTTAATTAAATGGCTAATTGGCCATTGAACAATCTGATTACGTTAGGTTTCACTTACCACGGTTTCCTAGTCCTGGTGCATCGGAAAGACGGAACAAAGTTGAAGCATTTTATGAAGTAAACGTGTGAGGAGGTTTGTGGGGTCTTCCCAGGGAGACGCAGGACTCAGACATGCTCGTCTTCCTGGTCAGGTTTCCTGGATTTGCAAAGCCTGGGCTGGAGCAGTATCTGTTGGCCAAGCAGCTAGCGAAGCCCAAAGAGAAGATTCCCATCATTGTAAGTCGGCTCACTTTTGTTTGCGTGTTTGCTTTAATTAAACTCTTTTGTTAATTTCTTAAAGCTAGCAAGATTATTAGTGTTTTAGAAACTGTTTTTAAACTTGGATGTGTTAGCATACTTAATGCGTCATTGTATTGTTTGGATGTTCTTTATTTGATCTTTAAAATTTCAAATACTCTATTTTTTTTTCCTGCCAAAACTTTTATTGATGACATTTGAAAAACAAGATACTTAAAATACTAATAAACAATAAGTGGTTCAGTAACTTTTCCTGTGGTCTTACTATGTTTCAGTTATCTAAATGTCCAAATAAATATGTAAAAAAACAAAATTAGGTATATGAATTTTAAACTATCAGTTATTTTGTAGAATATTCTTCTTGCATACCAACAACAGGATTACAAGTTTTGGGTTGTTATTACTGTGCTAGTCACCAGAAATGAGATTTTTATTTGCACAAGTCCATTTCCTTCCTTTAAGAATGCACTAGTTTCTAAGACCATAACTCAAATTTTTAAGAATGGAAGCAGAACAATGACTTTTTAACCCAAACAGAAATAGCTCTTAAGAATTTCTGTCACTGCTTGCTTTCAGTGTTGGGTTTTGTGGTTGGTTTGTTTTTTATTTTTCTCAAACTTTCAATGCTTCTAACTTTTCAGGTACTGGGAAAGATTCTTCAGCCAAGTTATTACAAACACTTGAAGTGTTAAACTAGCTTGGTTTATTATCCATGTAACTTGTTCTGTGGTATACTTCCAAAAATTAGTCACCCTAAGATGTGATGTGTTCAAATTAGGAAAAACTGTTAAATATATGTATACAGATAAAATAATTAGTGTGGTCTCTATAAGCAATTTCTGTTCAGAAATTTATTTGCATGTGGAACTAAAGTTTACCTGAGAACAAAACATTAACAGGGAGAGAAGAGAATCAGAACTTTCACAGAGCTGTACTTGACTGTATCTTGTAGACAAAGCAGAATTACAATGCATGTAACAAAAACAGCAAGTTTTTAAAGTTGATAGTTACAAATATTGTACGTAACAATTTTCTGTTTATCTCAGTACAATTTCCAACATACAGTCTACTACTTTTCAAGATAGTTAAAGACTTAAAACAAAATTATCTATAGACTACTTGCAAACAGTAAAATTTAAGTGAAATGCTTACATTCTTCTTCGAAAACAAGAATTATAGCTTTTTAAAAAAAAGTGGGTGCAAGTTCTGTTCTCCACTGTAATCTTCGAGATTTACTATTCCTTTTCTTCTTTACGTCTGTCCTTCTTTTCTTCATTATTCTCCATGGACTCCTCTTCATCTTCAACAAGCCCATCCCCTTGGTATTTGTCATGAGTCCATTTTGGACTGCTACCTGATAAAATACTCTATTTTTTTAAAACCCACAAAATATATGTACAAAAAACAATATATATGAATGATTATATGCAAACCAATAAAAAAGTTTAAACAACGACAGACTATTAGTATTGTAACTAGCATCTCCCATAGTAGATACTATTTTTAAAATTTGGGTTTCTTTCACTCTTTCATGCACAGTTTGTTTTATATCATTATTGACAGTGTCTCATCAAACCCTCTGTTGTCTTTCCCTCCACCTGCCCTTTGCTTCCCCTCCCTCCATCCTTCAGGTACTTTCCTCCTCTAGATTATTTTATTCTCGTCTAGAATGTCAGATGTATTTTACCTCATGTCCTCAGACAGGCTAGGGTCTCCCCAGCACAGTACATGCTCGGCCAGGACAAGGAGTCTTACCTACATACATGCTGGTGAGAATGAGTTCATTTTCTAGTAAAACGTCTGTCAGGTTACAAAGGCCTGTTGTTACTGAGACAGATCCCAACCCTTAGTGACCCTGAGGGCCACGTCGAACTGCCCCCTGAGGTTCCCAAGGCTGTGAAGTAGACTCTCATTTCTTTTTCCCAGAGAGTGACTGGTAGGTTTGAACCACCAACCTATTGATAAATAGCCAGGTACTTTAGCCACTGTGTATCAGGGCTCCTGTAGATCAAGATAAGGGGCTGGCGAATTACAGCTGGGACTGATGACAGCACTAAGAAGCATATGTGATAGAACCTACCTTAATACACAGCGCAGCACCCAGGCCCTCTGGTTTCATCCTAAATTTTGACGGCTGGTGGAGTTACTGTGCGATTCAGTTGTCTAGTCCCAAAGGAAATTCTAGAAGAGAGAACTCCCACTGCCTTTCCTGAGCTCTCTGGTAGGCCTGTCTGGCTGTCTTCTGACCCTGGGGACGTAGCCTCGAAACTGTGAGAGGTGAGAGCCTTGAGTCTGCTCACCTGGCCCCCAGCCCCGATGAGGTCTTAGTCTCACCTGGCCCCAAGCCCCAGGGAGGTCCTAGTCTGTAATCCCTGCTTCTGGAGAGACTTGCTCACATGGCAGCGACACTGGTGGGACACATTACTCGTCCCCAGATTTTGGAAAACAAATCCTGGAAACATGCAGTTAAGAGTGCTGGGACCAACAGCCCTTTTCTCTCACTGGAATCCTCATCTACTGTGCGGTTTGAGCAAGGTTATTTCTGTTTTTCTTCTCCTTTTCTCCAGATTTCTTTTCTTCATACTATTGTTGTTGTTATGTGCTGTCAAATCAGCTGTGACTCAGTGACGTGATCCTCGGAGCAGCTCCACACCCTGCCCAGCCCTGCGCCAGCCTCGGGACCACCATCATCCTCAAGCCTGCTGTTAGTGTGTCGGTCCATCTCACTGAGGGTCCTTCTCTCTCTCTCTGACCCTCTTCGTTTCCAAGCATGAGGTTCTTGTCTAAGGACTGGCCCCTCCTCACAACATGCCCAAAGTATGTGAGACAAAGTTTCAACACTCTAGTCTCTAGAGACAACCCTGGTTGCATTTGCAGACAGACTTGCTTGTTCTTTTGGTGGTGCATGGGATATTTAATACTCTCCTCCAACACTGCAACTCAGAGGCATCGATTTTTCTCCAGTCTCAGAGGCATCGATTCTTCTCCAGTCTTCCTTATTCATTTTCCAACTTTCAGATGCATAGAAACTAACTGAAAATACCGTGGTTTGGATCAGGCACACCTTAATCTTTACACTGACATCCTTGCTCTTTAGCCCTTTGGAGAGCTCTTCGACAACAGATTTTCCCATTGCAACACATCTTTGGATTTCCTGGACTGCTACTGCCCTGGATGTATGAAACCACTGACAGCTTCAGTCTCTTCTGCATCTGTCGTGATGTGGCCTGTCTTCCACGTGGGGTGTTATTTCAGTGAAATGTAAACCAGCTCAACAGAACACACAGCCACAGCGCTCCCCTCGGGCACAGAAGTGGGTGGGGGGTGAGGCAGTGGAACCCTGGCCTTTGGGTTGTCCCACAGATTTTACAGAACTGGACCCCTGTGGTCTGTAGACAGGTCTGCCCATATGGCCTTCTTGAGCAGGAGAGGAAGCTGAGGAGAGGCTGAGTCTTGAGGAGCCCAGAGAAGACAGAGACCTGATTCTGACTTCTAAGGCCCAGTGGCCCGTCCACCTGGTGTGGCCCTGCGGCTTCTGGGCTTTGGCCAGGACCCATATCCATATGTTCTTTTGGCCGCAGTCACACCAAGGGAGTTCTCCAACAAATTCTAAACTCCTTCTTTGTAGCCTTCAGAGAATTTTCCGAACCTGAGCTCCCTGTGGGGAGAGACTCTGGGAGTTTGTTCTCAGAGTTCCCCCTGTTAATCGCGTACTAAAACCTGGCTGGGGCTCCTCACCCTCTTTACTTGATGACCTGTGACGTTCCCTGTGTGTCCAGCCAGCTCACCCCAGCTCCATCTGCCAGAGGGACCAGGCCCGTGTCTGCCCTGCTCTGTCTGCCGGCCTGGCCTCCCAGGCCTCCCTACCATGCAGACCACAGGCATCCACCCTTCTTTTTATTTTTCCCACAATGCTGGGCACATCCGCAGACCTCGTTTTGTTTGATGTCACAGATTCTGTGATTTCTACAGGTGGGAGATTTGTGACAGCACTTCATCCAAGGAGTCTGACAATTTTTCCAGTAGCATTTGCTCACTGTGTGTCTCTGGTCACATTATGGAGATTCTCATCATATTCACGCTGTCACGCACTTGATAGACTACAGTTAATGTCACCATAACCTTCTGTGCTCTGGGAAACCAGAAGGCCCGTCCAGGGGAGTTTCTGTCCCTGTGTGCAGCGACTCAACTTCACTGTGAGGATCTGGAACCAAACCCACAGGATCTCCAAGATACGCCTGTGCGTTTTCTGCTTTGTAATCATTCGGAAAACTGGGCTTTATGAGGAGGAAGGTGGCATCCGGATGGATTAGAGGAAGACTCACCAACAACCTACGTTATGCAGACGACACAATCATGCTTGCTGAACTTGAGGCAGACCTGAAGCGCTTGCTGCAGAAGGTCAAGGACTGCAGTCTTCAATACGGATTGAAGCTGAACTTCAAGAAGAAAAAGATTCTCACCACTGGGCCAACTGGCAGCATCATGATGGAGAAGAGATTGAGGTGGTTAACAGTAACAGCTTGCTCAGCTCCACAATCAACACTCTTAACACTAGCAGTCAGGAAATCAAAAGATGAATTGCATTGGGAAAACCTGTTGTCATGGACCTTTCCAGAATACTGAGAAGCAAAGATGTTAGTCTAGAGACTAAGGTGCACCTGATATAGGCGCAGTTACTCGTTTTTCATCTGAAAGCTGAACAATAACTAAGGATGACAGAAGAATCATCAATGCCTTTGAGTTATGGTGCTGGAGAAGGGGTTTGAACATACCATGGACTGCCAAGAAAACAAATAGCTCTGTCTTGAAAAGGAGGAGCCACGTTTCTCCTTGAAGGCTAGGATTTTGAAGGTCCATTTCACATACTTTGGTCATGTGTGCCAGGAGGGACTGTTCCTTGGAGAAGGACATCATGCTTGGAAAGGTGGAGGGACACACAGGAGAGGAAGACCTTGGGTGAGATGGATTGATACAGTAACTGTGGCAATGGAAGTCGGTGTGTTGAAATCAGTGAGACTGACTCAGGACAGGGCAGCTTTCAGAGATGCCGTACACAGGGTTGCTGTAAGTCGCAGGCAACTCGACAGCCGTAACAGCAGCAACAATCTGTTTTCACTCCTGTTTGACTCTTTGCTCAAATCCGGAGCAGCTAACGTGTGGTCAGTGATCAGTGCTTAGCAGGAACGGGCAGCAGCTCAGCGCTCACCCACCAGCTCTCGAGACCTCAGCACAGAATACCGGGCAGGCTGGTTTTATTATTTTATCTTCTCCACCCCTGTTGTTGCACTCGTTGCTGTTATTGTTAGATGCCGTCAGGTCGAGTACGACTCCTGATAAGCCCGTGAATGAGCCTGACCCTGTGCCATCCTCATCGTCTGATACACTCGAGCCCTTTATCACAGTTGGCCATGCACAGTCATCTTCCTCTTTTGCTGACTCTTCACCTTTCCCAGCATGAGAGCCCTTTCCAAGGAATAGCCTCTCTTAGTATCCTCATTGGAAAACTCCAGTGATCTGATTCAGACCAAGAGCCCTGGAGGGACAGTGGTTAAAGCTCTCGACTACCACCTGCAAAGTCAGCAGTTCAAACCCACTGGCCACCTGTGGGAGGAAAGTGAGATGTTCCCCTTCCGTACAGGTTTCCCCAGGGCTGCTGGGAGTCAGAGTGGACTCAAGCCAGTGGGTTTGCTTTAACCTGCTTGGAGCCCAGCCCTCTCCTGCAGTGCTGGCCACCTTCTCAGATGAGGCTGCCATGGCCCATGCCAGAGCCTGCTGCCTGAGCCCACCCAGAAGGGCCATACCATGAACCTGAGCTCTCCAAGGGACGAATCTACACCTGCCATAAGAGACCCCTGCTCAGCCCACACCCAGGACGCAGCTAGCAGGACTACAGTGCTTGCATGTCTGCCCTGGACGCAGACAGAGACAGTGGGGAAGGAATGGCTGGCCTTTCTCGTCCGGGCAAGCCTTGTCCAGGAAGTGTGACAGCTGGAAGCAGGAAGTGGAGGTCCTGGCATTGTGGACCCCACCCCGTGCTCCAGCAGACCTGAAGAAAGCAGGTGATCTGCCGCTCACTCCTGAGGCACCAGGAAGGCACAGGGCGTTAGGCTCAGGTTGACCCCACTGATGATCAGCCGTTTCTTCTCTGTAGGAAGCCAGCATGGGACTCCCAGCAGTAGGGCCTGCGGACCTGCGGTAGGGCCTGCGGACCAGCGGTAGGGCCTGCGGACCAGCGGTAGGGCCTGCGGACCAGCGGTAGGGCCTGCGGACCTGCGGTAGGG